AAGAAGAAGAAGAAGAAGAAGAAGAAGAAGAAGAAGAAGAAGAAGAAGAAGAAGAAGAAGAAGAAGAAGAAGAAGAAGAAGAAGAAGAAGAAGAAGAAGAAGAAGAAGAAGAAGAAGAAGAAGAAGAAGAAGAAGAAGAAGAAGAAGAAGAAGAAGAAGAAGAAGAAGAAGAAGAAGAAGAAGAAGAAGAAAGGCTATTTCCTGATGGGTACGAGAAATTTATAAATTTATAAATGTATTTATAAAATATAAACTAAGAGCCAACTGCACTGCATACTAGCACTGATGATGTTACCTAGTTTGGGTCATGAAACGTCTGCAAGAAAACCACCAAGTTCAGAGAGCACCAAGGACCCCACAGTCCTCTCCTCCTCCTCCTCCTCCTCCTCCTCCTCCTCCTCCTCCTCTCAACAAACCCCCCTCCCTTCTAGCACTGATGATGTTACCAAGTTTGGCTAATGAAACATCTGCAAGAAAACAAGCAAGCTCAGAGAACACCCTCGTGAGAAATTTTGCTACTAACTCCAAACTCTAAGAAACCACCGCCATATTTGCACCTAATCTTACTTCCTGCTTTCTGCCCCCAAATGCTAGCCCTGACCATCAAATACATTATGTGTATCTGGATTAGAGCAAAATGCTAAGAGAGGCTCTGCTTTTATTTTTGGGGGGGTGGGTTTTTTTGGGGGGGCCCATAAAAGAAAATGTGCCTGAATCTCAAATCGTCTCCAAACAGAGACCCAGGTGGGAGACTCATTATGAAAAAAATCCAGAATAAAGGCAACTGGAGGTTGTTGGTTTTTTTCCCCCCTTCCCTTGGAGATGTTTCACTTCTGCAGAACTGGAGAAGTTTCTTGGATGAGAAGCGAAACATCTTCAAGGGACAACAAGGAAGGTCCAGTTGTCTTTTGAAAAAGCGCCCTTGGGACAACGATGACCTGGATGAAGGAGAATCTCCGTAGAGAAATCCAAAATAAAAGCCTTAGCTGCCTTTGCAAGCAGTTGAGAAATTCCAAACATTTTTACATTTTTGAAACAGCAATTGATGGGGGGGGGGGGAGAATGTCAAAAGACAGAGCAATAATGACTTTTTTTTGGTTGTCCCATCTTGCTGGCTTCTTCTTCCATCACCACATCACCAGAAGTGTCCCTACTTCCACACTGCTCCTGCAATAGGACACTTATTCTACTGAGGTCCAGAAAGAACTTCTAAAGTTCTGCCTATAAGAATCGTGTCATCCATCCTCACTAACATCTCTGCTTTACATATTTAGTACTGGGGGGAAAAAGTACACCTTGCACTAAAATGTTCTTGACTCAATCTTCTCCAGACTGTCCATTAGAGTGAGAAGACCTGTCCATCCATAATGGAGTTCTACGATCGCCGTATTGATTTTTTGGTTCATTCCCCAGTGAGTAGAATAAGCTTCAGAAATTAAACATTGATGTTTAATCCTTGGGCTTCCATAAACATATAGGATCTGGTTTGGACCAAGGATCAATTAAGAAAATCTTCTCCATTCTTTCCCCCTTTTTTTTTGTCCTGTCCTTAAATAAAGGGTAAAGCAGGGGAATACATCGGTTCCAGCTTTGTGTTTTTCTGATGGCTCTTCTCTACAAACTTTTTAAAAAACGTCTACCAACAGTTTCCCCAAACCGAGCAGAATTCAGAAGAGAGGATTCTTTGCGACGTAAATAAACGAAGGAGTTACTCAGACAGTGAATGAGCAAATACTTACTCTGCTTAGCAGGTGCCCCATAACATTCGTTCTCTAAACGACACAGAAATATCATAATTAACACAAATTAAAGACGTAATTCTCTCTTGCCTTATATCAACAAGGAAATTCATTTCGTCAAGGTTTCCCTTGCCCAACAACACAGCAAAGATTTAAGCCTGTAAAAACAGGTCCCACTTTGTTTCAGCACATGGTTATTATATATGTGCTGCCGAAAATCCTGAGGACTAGTATCTCTGAAGGCAGAAAAGTCAATTGAAAAACATTTTCTTTTTCAACAAAAGGTTCTCCAGATTTCTGCCGTCCGGGTCTGACAGCCCTGCTCTAGGAAAATCTTAAAATATCATTAATAATAAAAAAGGCCTATTTTTTTTTTTAAAAAGGTAACATCGGTTTTCCCCAACTGTGGCAACTTTAAGATAATTGGACTTCAACTCCCAGAATTCTCCAGCCAGCATGGCTGGCTGGGGAATTCTGGGAGTTGACATCCACCTATCTCAAAGTTACTAAGGTTGGGAAACACTGGTTTACATGCTCCGATGATGGTTTAATGCAGGGGTCTTCAAACTTGGCCCTTTTATGATTTGAGGACTTCAACTCCCAGAATATCCAGTGCCTGGCTGAGGAATTCTGGGAATTGAAGTCCACAAGTCATAAAAGGGCCAAGTTTGAAGCCCCCTGGTTTAATACCATCACGCAGCAATATCTGCCTATCCCAGCGCCTTGCGAAAAACTCAATAGGTGGATAAAAGTGCCAAATCCAGTCGGGAAAAAATCCAGACTACGCAAACAACCACAACCACAATAACAACAAACCAACCCAGTGTTGCTGGCTTTACAGAAATACAATTGCTCATTATGTACCGTCTACGGCAGGTCTCAGGGCTGCCCTGATTTAAAAAGGTTCCTAGCTGTGTTGAGGAATTAAACCTCATTCTTCTTTTCCGGACACAATAAAACCAGGGTTGATGGGCCCGCAATGAAATGTGAATTTGGGTTGCTGCTAACTCAGAATTCATTAAAAAAAAAAAACACACAGCCACTCCACTCCACCGCAGAGCAATTTCCCTTGATGAATGACACAGCAGCTCCAGATGTGTCAGAGAGGGTCTCTTCCCCCTTTGGAAGCTGGGAAAGAGAGATGCATTTCTCAAGAAGCAATATTTGTAAATGAAGTTTTTCTTGGAGGGGGGGTGGTCCTCAGTTGCTGGGGGCAAAAAAAATAGCTGTAGAAAAAAGCTGGGTATCCTTGCCTCCGATTTTTGCAACCCCCTCACGGGACTCAGGAAGAGAGTAACAAATGTTTACACACCCGAGGATACTAAACTTCATTACAGATGTTTAGTTGGCCATAAAGAACTCTTCTGTGGTTTTTTTTAGTGTGCAAAAGGGGTCAATGTGGTCCTTACGCTTGACACTGTTTAGAAAACGACACAATAAAATGGTGAGGCCGTTTTGAGATATAATAGGCATGATATATTTATTGCCTATTCAAAAGCTGCAAGAAAGCTGTTTTTTAAGTGTCTCTGAAGGAATGTGTTGCTGGTTTAACAATCCTTCTGCCTCCTAGTTGGGTTAAAAATACACGCAGTGGGGAGAAGACGGTACTGTGATGACATCCCCTTGCCCAACTTATACAAAACAGTCACGAGGGCCACGAAACAAACCGGCAAAGTAGAAAAACCTGACAATCACATCTTCCTTCCAAGGGTTAGGGACAGGGCTATTCCGCCGGATCTATGAGCCATGGGTGGCAGTTGCCTTGCTCTGCCTAACGGGGAAGGTATAAAAAAAACAGCGAAGGTATAAAAAACAAGATACAGGTTTCCCCTGTCCACTGGTGTCCAACTTTAGGATACAGTGCTCACCTGTGTTTCTTGGCCGAGGGTTGTCCAAAGACACTTGTGCGTTCACGTGGCCAACGTGGTTATACACCAAACCTGTTACCTTCCCACCGATGTGGTACCTACTTGCATTGATCTACTTGCGTTTGCAGGCTTTTGAACAAGAGCTGAGCAAGGAACAGTCATGCAGCACTCAGCTCTTGAACCCGAGCTGCCAGCTTTCCAGCTGACAAGTTCTGTGTTTTTAACCACGAGGCCATCGTGACCCCCACTAACTACAAACTAGGCACAGGCATTTCAGCTGGAAAACAAGCCAACATCTCCAGTGCTCCAACTTTTCCTGTCTCTCTCTCAAAAAACAACAACAACGTGTCCTGGTTGTTTCATCTCGAAGCCAATATGCCACTCATCCTAGCTCAGAGATCTTGGCCGAAGGAACCAGCATTGTCCAAAGACATTTCTGGCTTCATGAGGGCCAGCAGCCTTGTAGACCAAAGGAGCATGGTGTACCGAAGTGGTACCTATTGATCTACTTGCGTTGGCATGCTTCTGAATTAGGCGGGCAGGAGCTGGAGCAAGGAACGGGAGCTCACCCCTTTGTACAGCGCTCGGCTCTCAAACCCGAGTTTTCCAGCTGAGAAGTTCAGCATCTTTAACCACTGAGCCACCTTGCCCCAGTAAGAAGCAGAAGAAGCAGACCATTATTTCCAACATCTGCAAACGCGTCAGGATGGAATGGTGGGTCCGAGCAGCCGAGAAACCTTCTCCCGGAGACTCCGTTCACCTCTCTTCACATCCACGCTTCACCGCGTCCTCCAGGGTTGACTACGTGCCACTGTGACAAACGAGAACCCCACCCTTCCATCCCCAAAATGCTTTCCATTCGTCACCTACCTACCTTGCAAGTGGTGCGTCTGAGAGTGCAACAGTGCCTTCTTTTTAGAAGTGTATTTGTCCCTGTTGCTGTTCCTGTTTTCCGTCTGTTTGGCCTGACCGGGGTCATCACCGGTGGTCAGGTACTTGAGAAGTTCTGAGCAGGGGCGTCTCTGCGGCTTTTGCGCCTGGCAGATGCTCTTCACTTTATTGCTCCATGGATTCTCGGTCTTAGGAAACGAGTCACAGGCGAAACCGGGCCGGTGGGGGGGAAGAGAGAGAGAAAAAAAGGGTGAAAATAGGGAGCTAAACCTTATCAGAATGGATACCGGGCGTTGCTTTTTTTAAAAGAAAAAAAGAGAGAGAGAGACAGAGAGATTAGCAGCGAGGGGTTGAGTCTAAGCCACCCGATCTATGAACCGTGAATAATTGTTTGCAGAGTAAAGAAGACAAAATGACATTAAAATCCCTAAATGACATTGTCGTGGCTTTTTCCTCCAGTCCTCTTTATGTTTCAATGCTGCTAGGCAGCACTCTAGACTTCTTAAAGTCCTATAGTTAGTTCCTTCACCACCGACAGGGAAGAAACAAAGAGAGAGAGAGAGAGAGAGGAAGGGTTTAAAGCTTAATTTGACGCTGATTGCTCAAGCCTCACAACCCGTTCACAACTCTCTTAAGTACCCCTAAACGCTCTGTTTTCGGTTACAGTGAATGGCAAGACAAACATTGTTTAATACGGGCCGCTAACAGAATTAGCCGCTGCCAGCATCTCAGGCAATTAACGGCCATCGCTGAGTTGTCTTCCAAGGTGCCAGCATAATCTTCTTTTAAACCGGGTAGCTGGCAGAGGAGAAAACCCGGCCTGTATATCAAACAAGGTCTATCACTAATATTTTAAGGGCAGCCACTCTGCATGTAGGGAAAAAAGAAGAAGTGGGGGCTGTAAAAATGGCAGTACCCTTTGCCCAGAAAAAAAAACAAAGGACATTAAGATATAGAACAGGGGTAGTCAACCTTGGCTCTTTTATGACTCGTGGACTTCAACTCCCAGAATTCCTGAGCCAGCCGTGCTGAGGGGAAAGGGAGAGGTTTCCAAGCTGAGCCATGCTGGCTCAGGAATTCTGGGAGTTGAAGTCCACGAGTCATAAAAGAGCCAAGGTTGCCTACCCCTGCTCTAAACTAATAAAGTCTACATTAATTAACATTAATTATGCTTTCATATGTTCCTCTAAGTGAGGGGTCTTCAAACTTGGCTCTTTTATGACTCGTGGACTTCAACTCCCAGAATTCCTGAGCCAGCTATGCTGAGGGGAAAGGGAGAGGTTTCCAAGCTGAGCCATGCTGGCTCAGGAATTCTGGGAGTTGAAGTCCATGAGTCATAAAGCAGCCTAGGCCTAGGCCAGAAGTAGGCAACCTTGGCTCTTTTATGACTCGTGGACTTCAACTCCCAGAATTCCTGAGCCAGCTAGATAGAATATCAATCTCTTTTACTCCTATTAGACACTCCCCCCTGCCACTTCTCCATTGTCCCTTTTCTTAGCCTAAGGAAGAGGCAAAGCTATTTAGTATAGTTTAAATGCAGACTAAACGATAAAAATTTCTCCTATACAGGTGTATCTGGCGATGCTCATCTCTTGTTTCTTAACCGAGGGAGATAGCATTGTCTGAAGACACTTTCTGTGGCCACGTGGCCAGCGGGACTATATGCTGAGGCGCACGGAGCGCTGTTACCTTCCCAATGAAGGGATACCTATTTATCTACTCGCATTTGCGTGCTTTCGAACCGCGAGGCAGGCATGAGCTGGAGCAAGGAACGGGAGCTCACCTCATTGCGTGCCGCTCAGGTCTCCAACCCGGCCTGTCAGCTTTCCAGCTGACAATCTCAGCTTCTTTAACCGCTAAGCCAGTGATGGCGAACCTTTTGGACACCGAGTGTTCAAAACCCGCCACCTGCCCCTGCTCTGCCTCCCGCCCTGCCTGCTCCGCCCCTGCCCGCCCCCTGCCCCACCCACCAACAGGGCCACGCCGCAGATCGCCCAGTCAGCCCTGCAGCGCCATGGCAGCCACACCCTCCACCCACACCCCGCAGCATCATTTGCACGCTATGGGGTGCGAGGGTGGAGTCTTGTCCCTGCTGCCCAGCTATGTCCTTGGCTGCGCTGTTCTGTGTGGGCCATACCTGGGGGCGACTCTCCTCCAGGGGGGCTGCTGGTGACGAGGAGGCCGCAGGGGGAGGCGGGGCTGGGGTGACAGCACGTGTGCCCAAAGAGATGGCTCCGAGTGCCACCTCTGGCACGCGTGCCATAGGTTCGCCACCACTGCGCTAAGCCATTACGCCCTCCCCCACAGTAAACACAGACTAAGCACGGGAATTTCAGTGGGAAAAGAAGCCAACATCTCCAGTGCGCCTTCTTTTCTTCTCTCCACATCTTTAAGCCGATATGCCACCCACCCTGGCTTAGTGATCTGTGTGAACGCCCCTACCTTGACCACCACAGGGCTTGTTTTGATCCTGTGATTGGAGTTTGCATGATTGTGCGTGCCCAGGCCACTGCATTCATTGTAGTTTAGCTGGATGTTGGCTGGAGCCAGCAAGAGCTTCTTAAGCTGCAAGAAATAAGAGAAGGAAGTTTTTGGCGGTTGGGAGAGGGGAAAATTGGGAAGAAGAACACAAGAGGTTAGGCATTCTTGTTTCTTAGGTGAAAGAATAGAAGGTATGCTCATGAAATTTGTGGACGACATAAATCTTGGAGAGGTTGATAACATGCAGGATCTTGACAAACTTGAACACCGGGTCATACCCAATAAAATGTTGTTCAACGATGAGAAATGTAAGGTTCTGCGCTTAGGCAGGAAAACCAGACCTGCAGATACTAGAGCTGTGGTGCTTGGCTTAGCAAGAGTACTTACAAGGAAGATATGGGGGCCTTAGTAGATCACAGATTAAGAAGAAGCCTACAATATGCTGCAGCTACCAAAATTGTTAATCTTGCACTTGGGACTTTTCTTCATCCCCAGAGGCTGGAATTGTGCTAAGCCAGGGGTCTTCAAACTTGGCCCTTTGATGACTTGTGGACTTCAACTCCCAGAATTCCTCAGTCGGCCATTTTGATGAAACTGCAGGCTTGGATCCAGACTAGGGGTCTTCAAACTTGGCCCTTTGATGACTTGTGGACTTCAACTCCCAGAATTCCTCAGCCAGGCACGCGTGCCTGGCTGAGGAATTCTGGGAGTTGAAGTCCACAAGTCATCAAAGGGCCAAGTTTGAAGACCCCTGTGCTAAACAGAGGAGAAGACAGAATCCAACTGCAGTAACAAAGATGGCGGATGATTAATTGATTGTCTTTTATAAATCTAGGTGGTTTCTTTTTTCCCCCGTTTCTGGAATTTCCTCACATCTTCACCCGCAATATGAGCTGCACGAGGGTTTCTGCCTTCATTTTCAGTTGAGGCTAAAGGAGACGGTTCTTTTGTTCTTTTCAAACGAGAAGAATAAGCTTCATAGAATTGTCAAAAAGTTCGAGCAATGGAAGTATTACAAAACCATTTTACACCCTTGGAAAGTGATGTATGAGCACTTAGCTCCAGGCCAATCTATTATTATTATTATTATTATTATTATTATTATTATTATTATTATTATTATTATTATTATTATTATTATTATTATTATTATAAAAAGGTATGCTGCAGGTCATTTATCATTTTACACACAATAGCAATGGGAGGCCTGTTTTAATTTTAAATTTTAATTTTAAATGCG